AGTACAGTCATCTTTCCCTGTAGTTCAGTTCTTTCTTTGAACCCTATAGTACAGTCATCTTTCCCTGTAGTTCAGTTCTTACTTTGAACCCTATAGTACAGTCATCTTTCCTGTAGTTCAGTTCTTACTTTGAACACTATAGTACAGTCATCTTTCCTGTAGTTCAGTTCTTACTTTGAACCCTATAGTACAGTTCTTACTTTGAACCCTATAGTACAGTCATCTTTCCTGTAGTTCAGTTCTTACTTTGAACCCTATAGTACAGTCATCTTTCCTGTAGTTCAGTCCTTACTTTGAACCCTATAGTACAGTCATCTTTCCCTGTAGTTCAGTTCTTACTTTGAACCCTATAGTACAGTCATCTTTCCTCTTGCATCATCTCTACTTTAGACTTTCTCGGAATCAAGTAAGAAGGTCAAATTATTCATGTTTTTAGTTTCAAAGTATGATTCAGAGATTGAATATAAAATGAGTTGAAAATTTAAGACAACTTTTAAGATCATAGAATAGTATGATACAAATGAAACTGAATAATAATCTTTAAAATTGGTTAACGTGAAAATGACTATAAACAGGTCCATGATGATAATAATTGAGTTAAATCAAATAAAAATCACAAAAGTGAATAGTAATACCCAACAATGTGTAAACTGTTTGTTTTTTACTAAGGGCACAATTATCTAACACTGTTCTAATATCTAACTTCCTTATTGTCATAAGGTGATAAAAAGACTAGACCAGATAAAAGATAAAACTGATTCAAAAATTTATCTCACAAAAAGTAGGTTTGTGTACTTTGAAGAAAAAAGTTTTACAGTTCACCCCTAATCAACTCTTATGATTTATTTACTAGTCTCAGCTCCTAATCAAGTTTCATGATTCACCTACTATTCAGTTCTCATCACTTACATTGTTTAGATCAGTTCTTACGTGCACGCATGAGATGTCAACAGTTTTAAACTAAAATAACAATTATAAATTTACCTTTGTTTAGTTGTATGTATTATTTGAAACTGTAATTTAATACTTACAGCATGGAAATATTGAAATCGTTCAGTGGCTGTTAAAGAATACCAACTGTGCAAGTTTATTGGAGCCATCAGTGAGAGACCGGTCACTCCTGCACTACACAGCAAAATATGGTCAGGTACTAATAAACTTAATCTGTTGTATTCATAATATTTGGAAAACACGAAATCGTTTTAACTCGAAAATACAATACCCTATAACCGGAGCGCTTTTTGAAAGGGGTAAGTAAGTAAGTAATGTGTTGTATAATTTTGTTTTTGAAAGGAGTAAGTAAGTAATGTGTTATATAATTTTGTTTTTGAAAGGGGTAAGTAAGTAAGTAAGTAATGTGTTGTATAATTTTGTTTTTGAAAGGGGTAAGTAAGTAAGTAATGTGTTGTATAATTTTGTTTTTGAAAGGGGTAAGTAAGTAATGTGTTGTATAATTTTGTTTTTGAAAGGGGTAAGTAAGTAAGTAATGTGTTGTATAATTTTGTGTAAACATTGTAATCTAAACGATATTTGTCATATTTTATTGGATTCAATTTGTTTAGCACTTTACTAAATAAACTTGTTGCTTTCTGTACATGAAAGTTACTCTGTTATGATGAAGGGGAATAAACGTTCCATGTGGGTGGAGAGAGAGAGAGAGAACTTGCTTGTATAATAAACAAATGTACACTTTTCAAGCGACTTAAATTCTAGTTTTATGCTTACATCACCACATTTAAAAAATCGTTTATTTCTGGTACCAGTTTTGTGTTACACGTGTTGATGTTTTTTTTTAAAAAAAAAACAACTAACTTTTACAATCATGTTAGGAACAACTTGTTCACTGGTTAGCAGAGAATGTTCAAACATCCATTAATTACTGTGACTCCGAAGGTGACACTCCTCTTCATGTTGCAGCTAAATATGGTCACATTGGTTGTGCAAAAGTAAGTTATTTGGTCCTCTAATGTTCGATAATAATAATTTTATAAGTTAATGTGTTCTTTGGAGTTGATGCAATAAACGAAAAACTTTTATGGAAAACAAGTTCATCATAACAAAATAAAAATAAGTTGAAAACACATATTTTACAACTAATTGCTTAATAGTTATTCAAATTTAGTATGTTTACTTTCTAGTTATATTGTTAGAGAAAATTTTCAGATTATATGAAAGAGTCTTTATTTTCAAACATATTAACCTAACGGCTTGAATTTGTGTTTTACATATATAGTGATTCTAGATTATCCCAAATAACCTTTCAAATTTCATCGAAAGATATCAGAATTGTGGTTTTAAATGTAGATGAATAACAAAATATGCATTTTTATTGTTTCAACAGGCCCTTATTCTTCATGGCGCAGACGTTACGGCTAAAAATGAGCTGGGATTAAACCCACATGACCTCGCGATCTATAGTGAGCGTCCATCTTGTGCAGATTACTTTACAGTCATGGAAGCTTGTCTATCCTTGTCAGCAGGACATCTCTTCTTGGAAGATGATGTACAACAGTAAGTTACAGAGAGGGGTGGTGTGGGGGTCTTTTTCTACATTCTGACCCCCCCATTGATATGAAACTTAATATTTTACTGGAAACTGAATCTCTATACACAATATATTTGATTTCATGTTATAATGTAGTTTTAATTACCATAATTAGTTCTCTAAAAGTTTTATTATGTCAGGTTAGGTAAAGAACTAGCATATTTGAAATGATTTTTTACAGATCTTAAGTCTAATGAAAAGTCTGAATTATTATTATTATTATGTATTTTAAGTATTATAATAATAATAATAATAATAATAATAAAGTGAATTTCTTAAAAATATATTACAACAACCATCATATAATCTTTACGGCTTCAACAATCTGATGACGTCAGATTATTTTTCTACCATTACACGTAATCTTGTAACACTATTATGCTACTTAATTATTCTAACCCCCAGTTATTGAATGAATATGTTTTTACCCAAAACTATGGATATTCATTTGTACTGTTGATGGAATTTCATCCCAAGTTGTTCACATATAAATAAACTTTTTAATACTCATTTTACAGAAAATTAAGCACCCAATTTTACAGTTGTTGGAATTGTTTTTATATATACATAGTAGTTAAGTAAATTTTACCTAAAAAATGGGGAAGGGGCAGCAGAATAAAACATTAAAGGTTGGTATTCTTGAGGTTGATATATTTTCTAGTACCAATTTACCCACACAATTTTGTACTCTATAAAAACAAGGTAGAACGGGTAAGGATCTATTCATGGATTTTATATCCTTTTTAAAACAAGATTAGACATTTTTTGAATTTACATTATCATTTTTATCTTATAACGTGTTTTTGCTGTTTTTTTCTTATAGTTTGCTCTCAGAAAATATGGAATTGAAGTCACTGGTTAAAGAGGTAAAGTCTTTAAAAGTATATAGTTTCTCATTAACTTATCAGTGTGAAAAAACAGTTGATTCGGTTATTTTAGAGCACATTTTTATTATTGGTTTCAGTTGTCTTTCATAATGAGAAGGCTTCTTGATTTTAATAATAAGTTATAGTAAAATGAAAGCAACCTTTTGGTAAAGCTGTGTGATTTAACTGGATGTCCTACGACCAGGGATGTTTCCACCAGAGTGATATGGAAGAGAGCTAGCCAGAGACATATGAGCCAGTTTTTAGATTCTCTCTGCAATGTGACAAGAAACTGTTAATTTTTTTCTGCCCTCACCCCACAAATATCCTAGAAATGTCATTACCTACGAACACCATTCACATCAATTAAGGTTGTGTAAAGTAAACTAAAATTACAATTAAATCGCATACATCTAATAAAAATTAGTGTTCCCAATTCTTACTCTTTTTATTATTATTCTAAGCGTGATGTGAGAAGGGTTGGTTAACCGAGATTGATGATTAATCAACTAATAAATCACACAACTTCACCTTTTAGTAATTATTGTATAAATATAGCTTTTGCTTTATTGGATGTTGAAGTGTTTTAAATTCATACAAGTTTCATATCAAATCATGTAGTCTACTCAAGTTAAAATTTTAATACTATGGGTCTTTGTATTACAAATCTAAGAAAAAAACAAAACAAAAAAAAAAACTTTGGTCTTTTCATTTTGTTCATTAATACCTAATGTCTGTAATATAACTCTACAATTATTTTTCTCAGTTTCAATCCTTAATGCCAGTTCACGAGTCTTTACTATAATAATACCATAAATCTTTAACAAAAATTGTGATTCAGAAGTCGTACATCATCGACAGGTTACAGCTGGTCGAAATGTGCATTGTTAATATTGTAACTGCATCAATTCCACGTGTTCGTGGAATATAAAGAAATTCAAACAATTATTGTAATAAAATGAGAATTTGACACACAATCATCCTATATGCATTAAATGATGTGTGCACTGCTCTTTGAACATTTGTTGTTACATTCTTTTTTATATGAGATTCAAAACATTAGTAGTTTAACCTTGTGAAACAAAATACAGTTTTTAAAAAATTATAAATCCTTAGCAAGTTATTTAAAGTTTAACTCTCCCTATTGTGACAGTCTGTGTTACAGAAGCCGGGTTTTATTTTCAGTTATTGTCCTTGTCCAAACATTTACTCAAGCAACAAAAAGAGATGTTGGAAAATTTTAAAGTGATTCACTTGGACCTGGATACATTTGAAACAAGTTTATCAGAAGATGATGGCAAAGGAGAGAAAGAGAAGAATAGAAAATTCTTGAATGAATCTCAGAGCTCAGGGTGAGGAAGAGGAATATTATTGCAGCCATTTTAGTGTTTGTCCTGTATAACATTCTTTTTGTTGGGTTGGTTTCTTTGTTCAATTCTATTTAAAATAGAAGCAAAATCACGAGTTAACGTTTTCCTCTACCACACATGTATTTCTGACAATACTTACCCCCTTCAAACTATAGCCCTATGCATTGATATGAATCTTACCTCATTTGCCCCCAGCCTTTATACCTCAATATACTTCCCAACCAAAGTTAACCCTGCATTAATCTTCAGTAAAAATTTTCCATAGTCACACTTCAGGGTTCCAAGCAATACCCTATTATAAAAAATTAATTTACAAATATTTAAATAATAATAAGCTATTGTTTTGGAAACAAAAAAAAACAACATTAGCACTCAAAATATTTTCCTTTATCAATCAGTAAATGAGCATTGAATTTTTTTTTAGCACCTAAACTACATGTAACAATTTAACACAAACTAGCTAAATACTGAAGCTACTGACAACAACAACCATGTATGTGCTTCCACCTATTGGTGACAATGTTTACCAAATATTTGGAGTCCGTGAAGATTAATGTAGGGTTAAATCGTGTGATTATCTCCACCTATGTCATTGCACCCCACCTATCCCAGATCCGTATATATATAAAATTCCTGTTATTACTTCCTATTTACTTTTCAAGACGGTCCAATTCGCAGACCTGAAACTGGTCATTTTGTGGGGAGGAGGTAGATATTATCAGAAATACATTTTTTGGTAGAGGAAAATGTTAACTTCCAAAATACACTTACCTCCTCTCATACTATAGCTAGAATCCCACATTGACTAGCGTCGGCATAGAGAAGGGATGTACAAAAATGAGATGTAGTAATAGCACATTAGTGGGGTCTGCACTACTTCTGGAATGGATATGCTCTTTGCCCGGACAATATGAAATCACAGAGGTAAAATAGAAGAATATATTTTAGTCCAGCCAGGTGTGAGGTCCCACATCTTGATCCAAAGCATGAGGAATTCTCTTGATTTAGTTTTGTGGAAGTCAAGCTGAAAGTTACAGAATGTTGCATGTCGAGCCACTGGACTTACGAAGAGAAGGCAAGCAACACCAAATTAGATAAATCCTCTCCCTGACCTGATGAAGCACAAAATGCAACACATTGAACTCAGAATTACGGGACTTTTCATGCCTCACTCAACCCAAAGAAACAGAGATTACTTGCTGGGATTATGAACCAAAATCCTAACTCCCCAACCTGAGAGGGAAGGCAACACTTCCTGCCCCCAGAATGATGAGGAGGAAGCGGAACAAATGAAGTCCACAACCCATGGCTCGGCAGTCATTACAAGGAGTCTATGACTCTCTTCCATGATCATCAAAATGAAAAGAAAGGCCACACTGAATTTGACTGGATAGCGAAGAGTTATCTCTGAACAGGAATTATGAGGAACCCGCATAGGCTGGTCCTGCTACCATCATCTCTCAGGATTATTGGTAGGAGGGTTCCCAGCTTTGCCCCCTTTTCTTTGAGTGGAATAACGAGTTCAAGCATCACTCGAGAGGAACAGACCTCTCTGTCTATCACTCAAGCAACTGGAAACTGGGAGTGGTAAGGACTCCCATGCTCTCCACTAGGAGAAATGAGGGGGATAATCACATTGGGGGAGTCCTGAGAAACAATGCTGTATGTAGGTTAACTACATTCCCTATTTTGAAAAGCAAACTAACCCCAATTTATTCATTCAAGGGTTCAGCAGGGATGGGAAAAATCCCCTTAAGCTTTACTCATGATAGTCCATCAGTGGCAGTTCGTTAGTGTATTTGTCTTTGTATTAGAATTGTGTACCACCAGGACAGCATACAAGGTGGTTTCATGGAACACCACATCTTAACAGAGCTCGTTGCTACAGGAAATATTGTATTGGTCAACTGGTAGCTAGTGCGGATTTGGAAGGCAACATCTATCAGTGAGTAGGATCCCCGAAAGAAACAAGAAATAAACACAAAATATTACTGAAATCACTTTGAAAAACCATTACTCCAAAATAGATAAACTCCAGACCCAAGAAGACAGGACTAGAAAAAAACAAACAAACAGGAATCAGCTGAAGTTTAAATAACGAGAAGCTTATATAGGGATCTGGTAGAGGGGGTGCATTGACGTAGGTGGAGAAAATTACATGATTTAACTTGCTTTGAGCAATACAGTGGGGTATAAAGGCTGGAGCAAGCGATATAAGATTCATACAAATGATAAGGTGGGCAGAGAAGAGAAGTTTTCATTGAGATAAATCTATAGTGTGAGTGAAGTTAAGTGTTTCGTAATTAAACAGTTAAAAAACGTGTGGGCAACTTCTCATGCTAAGAAGTAATTGTTTTAAAGGGTTAAACATGTTGATGCACTACTTTGAATGCTATGAAAACAGATTTTTTTTTCTACAAAATTGTTTTATCAGAAGCACACCTGAAGACCTGCCAAACAGTTGGCCAACTAGAGGACTACTTGAAGAAGAGGTTAAAGAATGGTATACACACATCTTGCCTGGGGAGGAAGCAAAACTTCAAATGATAGAGGACAAGTGGAGGAGGCTGAGGATGCAACCCCACAAAGGAATGGAGGAGAGGAGGCTACCACTTGACATACTAAAGTAGGTCTGACTATCCAGAAAATGAAATTAAAATGTACTTTTGAAGTTAAGGGAAGATGGACCATTAACTCGTATAACATCTTATAATTTATAATCAGACTATTTTCGAACAATTTAACATTTAATTCCATCTTTTCTAAACTCTCTACACCGTGAAAGGGAAATCGAAAGAGACGGCAGAATCCTGGAAGGTTAAGACAACCATTACTAAAAGTATCAAAATTACAGACTGTACCAAAACAATAATAAAATTAATGCTCCACACTTTCTGTTCTGTAACATAAATTGCACAGAAAGCAAAATTTTAATTATCTGTAGAGAGGTGTCCACTATAAACAAATAATAGAGTAGGCAAAAATCAACCATAGTACCGATTATTTTTCTACACACATTGTTTATTTCATTCCTAGATCACAGTTTGCTCAAATTCTTGCCAAGTCAAGCAGTCCGATACTGGGAGAAGCCTCAAGGATAGTATCGTCATCTGAGAGTACCCTTTCTCTTGATAGCTTAAGTGAAGACGAGAAAGAACTTCCACCAGAGAAAGAGTTCCACGGTATACAGAATTTAGATACATCTGCTTCATGTTGTTCTACTAATCTCCAATCACTGCAGAGTATGTTAGACATTGATATGAAATCAATCAACTATTCAGACAGAGAAATTAGTAATGTTTATTCCCATTATGAAAGCAAGTATGGAAAGAAGATAAAAGATTTAAAAAAAAAGTCTACTCCCATTACGTCTTCAACCACTGCTAAAGTAATGTTGCAGGAGATTGAGAACACAAGCCTACAGTCTTTATTTGACAGAAATCCAGAACTACGACAGGAAGGGAAAACATGCTCAGTGCTGGAAGTGTTAGAACCTTCCAGTAGTGAAAGTGAAGAAAATTCCAAAATTAAGAAGAAAACAAAAAGCACTGGAGATTGTAGGATAGAGAAAAATTATAATGGAAACAGTTCCTCCAGCTCTGTGCAATCGGACAAGGACTATAAGATTGGGCCTTCTTCGAGCCAGAAACTTTTTTCTGTGCACCAAAAGCCTTCTTCAGGAGATGTCTCCTCTCCCTCAAACAGCCAAGAAAAAAAACAGGGTCCAGATGAAACTCAGGAAAATGTTTTAACAGAAAATGTTCTTCTTTCTGGCAGATCTCAACACCATTGCAACCCTTTAACTTCAACACTTGAAAGAAATATATGGAATGTTCACTTGTCTCCTGAAGATGAAACTAAATGCAGATTATCAGCACATAATCCAATGTCTAATGCACATCTATCCCAGGAAACTCAAGTCAAAACCATTGATGCTGGACGATCAGGATTTCACGAACCTGATCTGATTCGAGAAACCAAAGTGAAATCAACATCACTGCCAGCATCCAATCCATCACAAAAACCAGGGAAAACAAGTTGGAAAGCACATGATCGAAGAAGTGAAGTGAAGTCTACTCCTACCAAGACTAATCAGTCTGTCAATGAACAGCTCAGTTCTATTGTTGAACCTGGTTCTGAAGTGACAATACCCTCAGGATCTCAGGGTAATACAGCAAAGATGAAAGGTTTCCTGTCAAAACTTTCCCTCAAAGGTAAATGGGCATTGAAACATAAGTCTCGAACACCAAAGAAACTAGATGAAATCTCAGCAGACGAGTTTCGAGAAATGTATCCAAGATCTGCTGGTATAAGTGAAAATAAAGATAATTTGATTGTGTCAGACTTGTCAACTGTTTCTAGTCAAGATGTTAAGATAATTAACTCTACAAAGGAAGCAACAAAAAAATCATCTTACGTACCACCACAAATGCACATAACAGAAGATACCAGTACTTGTAAGCAGTCTTTTCTAGATGCTTTACTAGAAGATCAGAAAAATGGAGTGGTGTGTGCACCATCTGCTGAGATGAGTAATACATCTTCTCAACTTTTAAGACTAGAAGAGCTTCCAACACCATCAGTACTACTCCCTCCAAGAGGAGAACCTCCACCAGCTCCTCCAGCTATACAGAGAAGTGGCAGGAACACTCAAGATGCAACAGCAATCCAGAATTGTTCTGACTCAGAGACACTGGGGGAACCTCTGGAAGGAGCTTCGACCTGTGATACACCTCTGGTAGCAACAGTTCTGCAAGGGCAAAAGCGTTCCAAGATGTCCAAAGCTACCTCTCCTTCTGTACGTATCAAAGACTGCCAATTTCAGCAGTCCTTCGTGGTCTCTTCCAAACCTAATTCTTTATCTCGTCCAGCATCCTCAGCCTCTCGGATTGACTCCTCTTCTCATGCAGAAGATAATGAAAAATCTTCAGAGTTCCCTTTAACAAAAGCATTTTCTACATCAACAGAACTGTTAATTACACCCGATTCCTCCACAGCTGGACGACAATCTCCTGCTCCAAGTGAGGTCTCTAAGACAGAAAGTGCCCTGTCACCACCAAGTGAGGTATCTAAGACAGAAAACACAAAACCCCATCATCTAGGCAAGATAGAAGAAATTGTCAATCGCGAATCATCATCTCTGACTACTGTCCCCATGAAGGAACCCATGGAGGTAAAGACAGCTGCCATAGTAGACATTACACAGCTTCCCAAGACAGGAGATGATGGACAAATCACCACTGGACATGAAAGTGACCCAGAAGTAAAGAGTAACTCTTCTGAACCAGAACACAGAAAGGAAATTAAGGTAGAGTTTATCGTACAAGTTGGTGTAGTTGATAACCTGTACGTATTATGTGAGTGTTCTCTTTCTAACGTTATACAGTATCGTTGTTATTAATAATTTACCTTGACACAAAAAACAACCAGTAAAAAATGAAGGTTATATCAAACTTACTTGTGGTATTAGTCGATTACTTTTAAAGGACAACTACTAAGTAAGCTTAACTATTTTGGCATCTTGATATTAAATGGACGACTACTAAGTAAGCTTAGCTATGTTGGCATCTTGATATTAAACGGACAACAACTAAGTAAGCTTAGCTATGTTGGCATCTTGATATTAAACGGAACGACTACTAAGTAAGCTTAGCTATGTTGGCATCTTGATATTAAACGGACAACTACTAAGTAAGCTTAGCTATGTTGGCATCTTGATATTAAACGGACAACTACTAAGTAAGCTTAGCTATGTTGGCATCTTGATATTAAACGGACAACTACCAAGTAAGCTTAGCTATGTTGGCATCTTGATATTAAAAATATTGGATGTTTCTAAACATTAAGTTATAGCAACAACATAGTCATAAATTTAGATTACGTATGTCATATGTTTAGCTTTCCAAATAACTATTTTATGCATCAAAGACTTGATACTCTGCATCTCTTATGGAAGGTTTTGCAACATTATTTGTTTTTAATCTGTTGTGAAATAAATCTTTAAACATTAATAACAGTTTTATAAAATACGTACTATGAGAAGCTGTAAGTATGCTTGTAAATATTCCGTGATTTGGTTTGTTAACCCTGAGCTGGCAGGATGGGGTTAGAACCACCCATGTTGATTTTTCAAGTTGATAATTAACTCGGCTGGTGCTGCTCCCTACCCGATATTTTTAGTACCATATCCTCAATCAGTTCTTGAGTGTTGTAGAGATTTTATTTTCTGTTACTTAGAATTGTTTTCATACCATGGTTTCCCTGTCCTTTCAGCAGATGAAACTCCATAATTTCCCTTCTTCACCTGACAGAAAATGTTTTTAAGAACAACATTAAATACAGTAAGGATGTACGTACCAACCACAGTTTGCTATAGTTGAAGTTGCAGGTTATTCATAGTTTAATTTTTTACACTAATGTTTAAATTTTCATATGTGCATACTAGTATAATAAATACACTCACTGTATGATAACCAACAATGGAATATTTTTTATAAACTTCTAAGTTATCCCTCAATTGATAGGATGGGTGAAAATGGTCCATGTGCAATAAACTTCAAAAATTTGATCTTCATAATATGGTGGGGTCAGAATAACAAACAAATGACTGCAACAGTACATCCACTCTGTTTAATTTTGTTTAGTTGGAGACTTAAATTATTGACGGTTTGCTTTCTTTCCTTGCGTTGTTTTGTACTCTCCTGTTTTAACATTATAAAAATGTTCCAAAAAATTAACTTGAAATATTCTTTAACATCAAAACAGCTCAGTTTTTGCATCATTTATGAATTGTTTCTAATTAATGAAAAAAAAAATTAAACTGGTTATGTATTGAACTGTTCATCACATAACAGCGCATCTTAATTCGCATCTAGGTATGACGTTTCTGATGAAGAAGACATGTTTTCACCAGATCGATATCACCTCACAATGGGAAGCAGCTCAGATGATGACAGAGAAGCCATTAGTAGCTGACTAGTTCTACATTCGCCTATTCTTTTTTTCAAGTCTGATCAGATTTCAGAAATGGTTCACTCATTCTATGGCTCAGTGGGTTTTGTGTTTGTTTGTTTGTAATTAAGCACAAAGCTACACAATGGGCTATCTGTGCTCTGCCCACCACAGGTATCGAAAATCTGGTATTCTAGCGTTGTAAGTCGACAGACATACCGCTGTGCCACTGGGTTTTGTGAGTTTTACATGTAATAAGAAAGTGCCTTTAATTACCATAATTTTGTTTTAGACAGCTGTAGAAAGTTAAAACAAACTGACTTTGACCAACATGTACTATATATATATAAATACACAAGCAACCGAAGGTACAAGGACACTGTGAAAGTTCCTTTATGCCAATGAAAGAATAGATCATCAAGAGTTGCATTTGAGCAACATATAAATATGTACTGAGAAAAAGACTTAAATTTCTTCAATAGACACACAGTATGCAAAAACTTCTGACAAGTTTGACTTTTTCAAACTATGTTTGTGAAGAATAGATCCTGATACCAAAACAGAAATAAAAAAAAAGGATATGCCTCAAACTTTGAACTCGCCTGAAGAATAATAAAGTTTCTCGGACATAATATTCCAACATCTATCTTTTCATGTTTTTTAAAAGTTTCATTTCATTAGAAAGTATTAAAACGGGTATTTTTATGTTACTCTGGAATCATTGGACAGGTACTACTAGAATCATTATTTTATCTGTTATGAATGGCTAATACTTCTACAAGTGTCAGTCTGCAAGCAACTATAGTGACCAACTTACCAGCTTTGTCGTTACATCTTGTGTGAAGTAGTGTCAGTCTGCAAGCAACTATAGTGACCAACTTACCAGCCGTAAGTATAGTGTTAGTACAGTAGTAATGGTAGTTAATATCTAAGTTATAAAAGATGTGTTGATTCTTTATAGAGCCCTTTTATACAGTGAGACATGCTCGCATATAAGCAATTAATGAGTGGACTAATAAGTAGGTCAGTTTGTTATAGAAACATGGCGGTTACATGTTAACAAATTGATAACGCAAACAGCGAAACTTACAAAATTAACTATTTTCTTTAATATACAATTGCCTCTAGATTTATTAGAGATCTGGTTCTATTATATTACATCACGCTACTCACACCAGATGTAACGACAAATTTGGTAAGTTGGTCACTATAGTTGCTTGCAGACTGACACTACTTCACACAAGATGTAACGACAAATTATAAAGATCTGTTAATTATCATGGATCTACCGATCAATTTACAAGAAAACTAACATGAACTGTTACTGTTAACACAGGAGTGCCAACACAGGACTACAGACTTAACATGATTATATAAACAGTATCTTCAAAGTTTTATTCTAAAAATGGTTTGAATAACAACATGCAAAATTATGTTAAAATTAATTACAAATGATTTTAAACAGCATAATGATGCTACTGAAACTAAGTAAATAGGTCACTTAATTATAAAAACAACTGATATATTTATAAGCACCTGTTTAGGAGATATGCAAGGACTATATGTGCTACTTGTCCCTAATTTTGAAGTATACTAGAAAAAAAGGCAGCTGGTCAACAACACCCACTGCCAACTGTAACTGTAGAGGGATTTAACTGCTACTGTTATAATGCACTCTTGGCCTCAATGGGTGTGAAGTAAAAATTCTTCCTCGGGTAGGCAGCAAGGAGGGGAATGCAAGACGCTTTTAAAAACTTGCACAGTGGCTATGAATACTCATAAACCAATTCCCATCTGCTCTCTCAACCAAAAAGTACTCCCTTACTTATGAGATGTTAAAGATCTTTAATTATGGCTTTTAAAGCAAGCATTTAACTTGATTAATCAACATAATTTCATGTTAAATTACGTTTATATGGACTATTGCCATGAAAATTATCAACTAATGTTTGCAATTACTCCAATTATCCAATAAAATCAATCAAATGAAGTTTGTTCAGTATAAGTGACTAGTTTCACAACTCCCAAATATATTAATCAAATACTCCAACTATCTAAGTAATCAAAATATTGCCATTATGTTTGTTGTTAAACACAAAGCTATCAGTGCCATCTCGTGAGAATAATTGATTAGTTGAGTGTAATTATCCGACAAGCCTAACGATCAACCAATTATCAAACTCCACTAATTGTCCAGCCCTGACGGCTACTACGTTCCACGGTTGTTGGAATAAATTTAACACACTCATTCACTTGGATCAAACAACATCAATTAACATAACCATCCAAGCGATCAAGGTCCTAGAAACAAGAGCACCACACAACAGAATTTCATTTATCAGAATCTAGGGCAAGTAAGTGGCACTAAATCAAACTTCTGTAGTGCGCTGAAAGCTGTCATTGCTATGACCAAAGATAAATTCTACCATGGAAACATTCTTGATCTCTGGTTTATGTATTTGTTGTAGTTCATATCTAACAACAGTAACTGGTCGAAGGTGCTTGATCCAGTTTATTTATAAAATATCACTTGGGTCGATAATGGCAGTGACGTCTCATTCATAGGATATGATTAACAAGGAGTCCAGTAATTAGTCGATCAAAGAATATCACTTGGGTCGATAATGGCAGTGACGTCTCATTCATAAGATATGATTAACAAGGAGTCCAGTAATTAGTCGATCAAAGAATATCACTTGGGTCGATAATGGCATTGACGTCTCATTCATAGGATATGATTAACAAGGAGTCCAGTAATTAGTCGATCAAAGAATATCACTTGGGTCGACAATGGCATTGACGTCTCATTCATAAGATATGATTAACAAGGAGTCCAGTAATTAGTTGATCAAAGAATATCACTTGGATCGATAATGGCATTGACGTCTCATTCATAAGATATGATTAACAAGGAGTCCAGTAATTAGTTGATCAAAGAATATCACTTGGATCGACAATGGCATTGACGTCTCATTCATAAGATATGATTAACAAGGAGTCCAGTAATTAGTCGATCAAAGAATATCACTTGGGTCGACAATGGCATTGACGTCTCATTCATAAGATATGATTAACAAGGAGTCCAGTAATT